ATAATCACTAATCAATTACTCCTAATAATCGCTAATAAATTATTATAACACATTACTAATATATTATTATTGATACTATTATTAATATATCATTATTACTACATTATTTATTCCCTCGTAGAGATCGCGGGCAACTTCATCCCGTAGGAAATTGCTTAGAGAACGCGAAGAAGACCGGGAACACTCGCGTAACGAAGAACGCTATCGTTTTGGCGCGCAACAGGGAACAATGCCGGCGTAGCATAATGCATAGGAGATTCCGGGAGATGACATAGAAAGCAGGAAGGATGCCTGAACACTCCGGCCATAAATGGGAAAGAAAACGGGAGTGAAACACGATCGCGGCCGGTGATAGAGTCAACGCGAATTGCTCCCGGCGCCGCTCCGGAGTATTCGAGCGTGAAGTATCGCGCGATAAATTCAATTACTTCGTTGTTAAATCATGCACAATGGGATCGGGACGACGGATCTTACGGTATGTTTTGATCGGGATCGATGGCCGCGGACTAATTACGGCTGATTAAATTGTACGGGCGGATCGACACCTCTGCGTTCGCTCACATGAAGTCTACGATCTCTAAATCATCGCGTTTTTACAATTATTCGTTTTTCTTTTACACGACTTTTTAGCAAATCGAGGAGTTTCGCTTCGAATCAAAATTATTGTACGATCGAAATTTGAGAGGAATGTATTTAATTTCAAAATGACCGATTTCTTCTTTTAAGATTGCTTGCAAGATCTTCTTCGTGGGAAATGATTAAATCGATTTCTTAATTGAAGCATGTTATACTAACAAATTTGGGAAGCTTAAATAAATTCATTTTCTACAAAAACACGTCCATTGGGTCAATTTCGCTCCTCACGAAATTCAGTAATTTCTCCCTAATTCGCGTTCAGATTATTCGTGCCTTTTGTCTCGTTTTTGTAGTTGTTGATAATCGGTAACTATAAAAACGTACTGCAAGGCTCGAATAAACGTATCTCCTCTTCCTAAATTGTCCATTTTTGTGCACACTTTGAACGCGAATTAGGGAGAATTTACTGTATATAGAATAATCGATTATTCGAATAAAATATTTGACTAAGAGAAACTCATTCGGACAATTATTGAACACCTTGTATTCGCAATCGAAAAATTCCTACCTCCATATCTTCATCTAAAAATTTCGCTAAAACAGAAACTGACTGCTACTTGATGATTTTACAGTAGCTTTCGCTGCTGTATGCAACGGGAATTGCATTTCGGCACAGCACCTCTATGCGTGGCAGCGAAAATTCATGGCGCAGGTGATTTATTCCCGGTGGATCAAAATGTGAAGGCGCGACAGTAGCGATTAGACAATAGATTGTCAGTCTGTTATTTATGCGTCGATCGTGTGCAAACGATAAGTAGCAAACTTGTTGCGCTCCGGTCAACGGCGATAAGCTTCCTTCTTGCCCGACGGAATTCTAGACTGTCCAGATATTTTTCCCTCTGGAGGCTGGTTAATCAATTTGCGATCCAAAGGTTGGAGGTGATCGCGCAGGAGAAATGACTGTCGTTAATGCGAAAGAGGAGGTCTGATTCTTATTACGATAATGTTACAATGTAGGAAGCTAATTATCTTAAGACGATTACGTCGTGTGTACTTCACTCGAACGATTGTGTACGCAATGTGAATCTGTCTGATTTATCTGTCGCGCGCAAGATTTCTCCTGCTTCCTAATACGGTTTTACAGAATTCGGGAAACGTAACGATTCATTGTACAGAACGCAATTATTTGTTCGAATTATTCTTTACTAGAATAATTCTTTGTTCAAATAGTTCTTTATTCGAGTGAAACTTTTATTCGAATAATTCGAAAAATTCCGTATTCGAATAATTCCAAAATTCTGTATTCGAATAATTCGAAAATTCTGTATTCGAATAATTTGAAAAATTCTGTATTCGAATAATTCGAAAATTCTGTATTCGAATAATTCGAAAAATTCTGTATTCTAATAATTCGAAAATTCTGTATTCGAATAATTCGAAAAATTCTGTATTCGAATAATTCGAAAATTCTGTATTCTAATAATTCGAGAATTCTGTATTCGAATAATTCGAAAAATTCTGTATGCGAATAATTCAAAAATTCTGTATTCGAATAATTCGAACAATTCTGTATTCGAATAACTCGAAGAAGTAATATGGAAGAAATAAATCGTTAAACTGTGTGAAAACACTATATTCTGTCATGTTTATATTTATATTCTGTCATATTTAATTAATTATTTTCCGTATGAATTCCTGCACGAATCAATTTTTATTCGAATAAAATCTTATTGAAATGAATTGTTATTCGAATAAAATCTTATTGAAATGAATTGTTATTCGAATCAAATCTTATTGAAATGAATTGTTATTCGAATAAATTCGAATAAATTGGAATGGATCCGATAGAATATTTGCTCGATATTGTCGAATAAAATTTTCTTTGTCGGTCTTTATCTTTTATCGATCATCCGAATACAATTTTACCGAACACTGTTTACAGCATTCTTTGTGCAAGGAATCTCGCGTAAGAATTGGTTCCGAGCTACCTCGGACGATCCAGAGATTCAGAGGGACTTGCTCGTAGCTCATCCGTGAAATGCAGTCGCTTCCCGTTGCATTCAATGGAAAAAAAGCAGGGAAGAAAGGACGGAACCAATTGCCGTAATCAATCGCCGCGATAAATCAATTCTTCGATGTACATCCCGCTTGTCATCGCGCGCGGATTCACCGCATACCAAGAAGTCCAAGCGGAAGAATGAACTGCTGAAGGACTCTCCACCTGGCGCGCTCCTCAGTGTTGATAAACTGCAAATCCTCCTGCAGACGTGCGTCTCCAAACATTAACCGCTTAAACAGTCGGTGATGGTCACGGAACGCACGCGTATTAAATAACATTTGTTTAAAATTAAATCGTGTCCAAATCGAATAGTTTTATTCGATTTTATTTTACCATTTATTTTACCATTTTATTTTACCTGTTCCGTCACTTTTCATTATGTACAAATAATACGAAAAAACAATTTAATAGCAGAAAAACGATAGGCAATTTTTAGTTACATTCGTTTGTGAATTTTAATTAAATTCTTTTTTTTATTTTAACTAAATTTCGAGTGAATATTTGAAGAGTGGGTGACTGCGAAATCTTTTTCGGAGATGCCGTTTGCAGCGAAATAAAGTTTGATCTTTTCTCTTTAATTTAAAAAAAAAGCAACTTAGCTGCTATTTTTGTCGCAAAGTTACAGCACTTTAAAGTAACCCTTGCAATTTCCAATATGACAAATATGGCATCACATTTCAAAGATTACAATGGTGAGGGTGCTTCCAACATGAAATCCAGAAACATGATCTTAAAATAGACGTTTCAAGCTTTAATTTAAAACAAAAGTCATCATCCTGCGATGATTTTTCGTGGAACAGTATACTTATTTACTTTTTTTTTACTATGTATAACTGCACATCATGGGGGACGAATGTAAGTCAGAATGCTGCAGCAAAAAGCTCATTGTTCCAGTCTTAAACGCATCGCACGATCACAGCATAAGAAACTTGTTTAAATAAATACTTCGAATTCGCACGCACCACACTAGTAACTTCATTTCATGCCAGTCATTCTGCGAAACCATGACTTTCTTAATTGCGAGGGACTGTGTCTAATGTGCTGCAGTTAAATAGTCCATCGCAATGGAGAAAAGGCTAATTAAGAGTCAACAGCAAATTGAAAACCTCGTGTACTCGTTTCTGTTATATCTTGTACACTCTCTGCATAGAATAAGGATTCTACATACATTATAAAAACAGAAAATAAATTAAGCCGATTAGAAGTTACTTAGTTAGCAAGTGAGAAACTAAGCTCTGCAATAAAAATAGATCTTCGTGCAAAATAACAATTGATCTTTTCTCTACAGGTTCTAAATAATGCAGTAATATTCTTTCATTCTTTCAGGCTTGCTATTTGCATAAATGCACCAATGCGTATAATCACAAATTCATTGAATCCATAGTCGAGCAATTAAAATCACGTTGTTCTGTAATTTGTATGAATTCTTGTATGAAATAAAAATTGTTTGCATCAATTGCAACGCGAAGGAATTCAATAGAAATCCTTCCTTTAAATCATTTTAACTGGTTCCAAATAGTGCAAATAGTGCAAATAGTGCAACAATGTTCACAAATGATTTCAATTTTCCTGTTCGAAAATGCAGTCATTAAGACCATATTTTTCTTCTTTCAAAATTAATTTGCAAAATAGAAATTGTTTGCATCAACTACAACGCGGAGGAATTAAATAGAAATTCTTCTTATAAACATTTTAATTGGTTCGAAAGAGTGCAACAATCTTCTTGATGGAAAATGCAATCATTAAAACCATACATTTCTATCTAATGCAATAATATTCTGAAATTCTTTCAATCTTCCTATATCAAAATGTATCTATGCATAAAATCACGACTGCATAAAATCCGCAATCTAGCAATTAAAATTTTCTTCCTTCAGAATTAAATCAAAAATGAAAATGCCGTGTATCGATTGCAGAATAGAGGAATCAACTAGAAATCATTTCTTCAATAAGTCTTCCAATTTCAAAATGTATTCGTACGTAAAATTACAACTGCATAAAACCCGCAATCTAGCAATTAAAATCGCACGCTCCTGTCAGAATTAAATCGAAAACAAAAATGATGTATATTAATTACAGAATAGAGGAATCAAATACAAATCTGTTGTTCAAAAATTTCACCGCGAGTTCTACTTGATGCAACAATATATTCAAAATCCTTCAATCTTTCTAATCTACATGCGCCTACAAAATAAAATCGGCCACGAAACGATCGAATAAACCAGCCAGCAAATTGAAGCGACGACAAGCCCACGTTCTAGTTGCCCGAAAAAAAATGTCCTTTTTCGAAATTGCAGGCGAGATGCTCGAATCGAGCCGAAGCAAAGGCAGTCGGGTTCGAGCCCGGTTACAATACACTTGATCCCATCTCGGCCCGATAGAAGAAAACCAGGTGTGTTCTCCAGGGAGGCCTTCCTATGCGGCAGAGATCGGACCTGCCGGAAGAGTGGGGAGCTCATATAAGACACGAAGCCAAACGCCTCTCCCAGTGACCAGTCTCGACACGAAAACTCATCAGCCGAGCTTCTTCGGTTCTTATAAACAGTCTCTTCACGCTCCGAGTGCCGGTCCCTGGACGGCAAACGGACACAAACGCCGATCCTATCGAAATTCGAGGTAGCAATCGAGTTTAATCGAATTGGTCTTGGCCCGAAGGCCGTGCTGCCACGGTTCCAGACAACGCACAATGCTGTCGTCGCAGGCTCTCTCGATTCTCCTGCTGTTCCTCGCTGCGCACGGTGAGTTCAATGCTTCTCTTTTCGTCCAGTTTTCTACCCCTCTTCTTCTTCGTCGTCGTCGTCTTCTTATTATTCTTCTTTTGTTGCTCCACGTTTATTTTTCCTCGGTCGTCCGGCGTGTCTTATTTCGCTTTTACGCGCGTTATCCGTGTCGCTCTTCGTCTCCTCCTCCGCCGCAGGACCTCTTCGCCTTTTTTGCGGCTGTTACGACTCCTTCGGTGTCTTCTTCACCGACTACCTTCAGCTTCTTCTTCGTAGCCTCGCGATCGATGGCGTCATTCCGCCGGCAGATTAACCGTAACCCACGCGACGCGAACCGCGAATTCTGCTTTATCGAGTCGTTCCCAGTGTTCTCCGGGGCCCCGTGCATAAATTCGAGGATTTTAGGGCCTGTCCGGCTGCTATTCTTCCCGTCGAAAACGTAATTTATCGACGCCGGCGTTAGCTGTATTTTTCAACCGCCAGCGAAACCGCAAAGTGCACTCTTTTCAATTGCAATGATTTATGCGGCTGTTCGGGGCCGAGTGATGATAGAAAAGAGTACGACGCGGAAATATTGAGAAAATGCTGTTACTCGAATGTCGTTTCACACGCGTCGTTTCCTTTTTAAACTGGAAATAAATACGATGATCGAATATACAGTGTTCTCAGCATTTCTTTTAAGTTATATTTAAACAATTTGGTTCTTCAGGTCTCAGTGTCGATAGAAAAATATAAATTAGAGACAATTTTTATCAATTTTAACTTGAATATCCTTTTAGGATTTTGCGAGAATTAATCCTCAAATACGAAAGTGAATTATTTTATTGTTGGCGTAGTCAATTTTTGGAAAAAAAGCGTGACGCGATATTTTATTTATCAATATTGTTATCAGTAGACTGCGGATCTTATGCATTTATGATAAAAATGAATAGATCAAATTCATGATTAAAAAGACGTTAGGAGAATTTAAGGATATTGTTACATTATTTTGAACTTATTATGATTGTCAAAAGAGAAACGATATTTTCATCTAATTTATATTTCATACAATTAACTTAGATAAGTTTTATTTTGCCTAAAGATCTGCAGTCTAGTTATCGATATTGTCATCAATATTCACAGTGTGATTAATTTTTAATATTCTACATTTAATGTCGATTGCTGAAACGTCTGACATAAAACGCATAGAACAAGTCAACAACAAATTGTCACACAAGTTGTACACTGGTAAAGGACCACATTGCAATTAAAATCTGTTCGTCTCCGACAAGAACGATCACCGTAACAGCAAATAAACAAACAGCCAGGAAAGTGGGTCCATTATCTAGCATCGGAAATGTTGTCGACCATGGTGGTTGCACGCAGTGCAAGTACATAGAATCGCGCGATTACAATAAAATGCAAACAAGAGAAAGGTTGGATCAATTAATATAATGAATTAGATATGAAGATGCTCGAGCGATTTTTCTGTTTAATCAGCTCGCGAACTCGGCGTAATTTCATCTCGTTAATAATTGATTTTCCCAGAGGAAGAAAATTAGAATGTGCATGAATTTTCCCTAATTAAAGTTAATCGATGGTTGCTCGGTATGTTTTTCTCGACAACTTTCTCTTGCCATCAGTTTATCAGTGGTATTCGATTAAGTATGCCTGTTAGAGATATTGCTGGTTATTTAACATTCATTATGATCATTAAAATGACACGGATAGTGATTTATTAGATAATCCAATTACGCTGCGACATGGTCTATCCGAGTGACATCTTTGTTTCATTGTTTACAAAGATAGACAAATTAGTATGTTCTAATTTTTAGCTTTCTTTTTACGTTAATGTTTCGATTATTATATTTCTTTTTATATTTTATGTTTACTATATTTCTTTTTATATTTTGTGCTTACTATATTTCTTTTTATATATTTTGTATTCACTATATATTTCTTCTTATATTTTATATGCACTACATTTTCTGTCTTGTTTAAAATTATCACAATACTAACGTTCACGTTTTTCATAACTACACGTCCACGAAATATTACTTTGTAAATAAAATTGATATTTCAATGACGTACTTTCTCGTTCCATTAACACGATCAAGGACAGAAGCCGAGCATCCTCGTCGCAAAATATCTGAAATTCGATTTCTACCTTTCACTTTGCACGCAAATTGTTCGTTCTCACGGCATTTAATACTTTGTCCGCGATTTCAATTTACCAGCCAGATTACGGGGGAAAAAACCAGCCTAATGTCCGCAGAATCGGCGAGTTTTTCTCGGCGACGGTCGATCGGGCAGCAGTGGTAGAGATCAGGTAGAGTAATCGGCAAGAGTGCAAGTGAAAACGGACTTTCTGTGATCAGACGATCGAGTTTCTTGCAGCCGCTGGATCTGAAAAGTGCGCGTCGGCCTACTTTCGCGAACAAGTAGCGTCCCGGCGCTGTCTCGTGATCCACGGTGATGCTTCAATTAACAGCCGAAACGTGTCCCACGTGGAATCTAGGGTGATTCACACCTGGAGGACCGAGCCGAGATCGATCCCGGACCGAATGTTCTATTAATACACGGCCGTTCGATCGTTTTCACTCGGCGACCAGCGGAGAAGCGAATTTCACTTTCTAAACTTGACTGGGACCTCCGGAGTCTGCGAGCCTGCGTTGCCTGAAATTCAATTCACGCTGGTCGATAACGATCTACGATATTTTCAACACTCAAGACCCACCGACTCTCCTTCTTTCGATCAACGAACTCGTTAAGGTCTCGTTCGAGAGAGAGAAATTTTCGATCGACGTTCCACGGTATGCAAACAACACGTTCAACACGGTTAACTTCTTGAGAACAATTCGGTTTAGGTCGATCCTTGGTGAAACTAATTAGCTCGATGTTTATCGTTCCGGATTACATTAGCAAGGATTGATATTTCCATCGGGATTTACCTTGTTACAGTTCTCACTCTCGGGAACGCGCGGAATGCATAATTGCACACCGATAACAGGCCGGTGCATGCTAATTACACGGTAATTGAACGCGGCAATTAAAAGTTATGAGGCAAAAAGTCCCCGTAAATGCGAAGACGAAGCGGTTCTTAGCGTGTCTGCATAACGAATCGCTGCGATTTTGTGAACATCGTCGGAACCGTTAATTACCTGTTTCCAAGTGATTCTCGTTAACGGTTTGAGTCACGCTAACTTATCTACGTCTTGAGAAAATCGCGTCGAGAAATCCATTCACGCGTTCGATTCATCGTCGATAGCAGATAGTCAAATCTTATGTAAATTAACGCTAACAACCTAATTAACAAACCAATCTAAATTTCACATTGTTTAATTTCATAATTAGCGAAGTCGCGAAGCTACTTCCGTTAAAAATTGCCGAATATATTTCTTTATTCAGTCACACGCTATTAGAAAAATTGCGAACAAAATTCCAATCGGTTCTATTTTGTAATTACAATTTCTAAATTTGTCTGAATCGATTGTACGAAATAGAAGTTAAATGCGAATGTGTCTCTTCTGTTAATAAAGTTTAACAAGTTAAAGAGAATGCAATGATACTCTTAGATTCTTCTAACGACTTCATTGTTCGGTATTTCACTTAGTTCATTTTATCATAATTGCATAAAAACCGCGGACTGCTTATAAGGCGACACTTGTTAGTTGCTTTTAAACCTCGGTAAATTTGGCGTCAACACCTTGACAGGTAACGATTGTACGTGACGGAATTATTTTCACGGACTAGAACATTAATTTGTACGCTGATTTATTGTATCTCGTTAATTCGATTGGAATCCGCAAAACGTGAGAATGTTGACGAAATTAATCGCTAACATGGAACTGAGCTTTTCAATTATAATTTATAGTTCGTTAAATAAAATACTTTAACTTTGTGGAATTTTTGAGGTTGTCGAAGTGTTGAACGATTCTGTAGAAATTAATGATTAACAATCTGTGTATCGAGGACGCATCTGTAAGTCCTCGCACATGAAATAGAGATATTGGAATTGGAATTGCAATTAATGCTTAACAACTGTTTCCGCGGAGAACATTTCAGGGAAATACGTTCGATCGGCATCGATCGCGATCTTTCCAGTCGCTTTAGACCGGTTGCCCGAAGTATGCGACTCCTCGCCTTTTTTTCCTCATTACACAATCTTCATTAACGTGTTCGAACAGAGTGTTCGTAACTTCGAAGAACACCCCCACCCCGGCGATTATTACACACGTCTGTTCGTAAGACAATGACGGCCATTCACCGGGTTTCACACATCTCGAGAACTTTCTCCGGTGTCTCGGGAGTGAAAATATGAAAGTAGCTCGGCAGACAGATCTCTCTCTCTCTCTCTCTCTCTCTTGCTCTCTTGCTCTCTCTCTATTCCCCTCTTCGCTTCTCTCTCTATATGTATGTATATACATATTTCTCTCTTCGCTTAATTCTGCACCCGCGGTTCGCGAAATAAATCGATCTTACGATTTCTCAGCGATAGATACAGATCTTCTCGCATTCTAATTAACACTCAGCGGGCCTCGGGTCCATTTCGACCCGGTATACAAATATCGTCATATGGCCATCCAGTTTTTGATGATTGTTGCTCGAACGACGATCCATTTTAACAAAAGTATAACCGAGCATACCTAAGATGATTAATAACCTTATTTTTCAATTTTTGTCCAGACATTTTTTGAACCACTTCGTTCTGACATGTTAGATCTTTTTTAGACCTTAATGAAACATATAGAAATTTCAATTAACACTAAGTTTACCGGACCCGTCAAAATGACACGTTCCAAATTATTTCATTTACAATTATTCCGATTAATATTTATACACTGTGTCGTAATATTTATATATTCACGCGTTGCATTAAAATCGATAAAAAAGCTAGCGTGTCTAGAATCTTAAAAGATACGTCGACAAGAAATTCATAAATCAAATTATAAATAATTATAAATAATTCGCGGCATACTTATTGCCAGTTATAAATTCAACAGGGTCAACAAGATTGTTTTTCTTCGGACTTGACAGAT